CCCCAAAACCCCAAAACCCCAAAACCCCAAAACCCCAAAACCCCATTAGTGAATAATTAAATTGAAATTTGTAGAAATTGGTTATACTTTTACTCAGAAGCGCTACGGATATTTTTGACTTTTCTGCTTCTTTCAGATTCCAAGTTGATAACAGTATCAACAATGTCACCTGTTAACTGAGTTTGTCCTGAAGAGGCTAGCTTAAGTTTTGAATATGTTAGCCATGTGTGCAAAGTATTTGCCCCCAATTCTTTAGTTGAGATTTCATTGTCTTTCAGAGCTTGGTCTTCTTCTTGTCTTGCGCTCACAAATCTCTCTTGAATATGGTTTGAACATTCATCCGGAATCTCAATACCCCTTCTACTAACTTGGTTAAAATAGTATCTTCAATTGTTAATGAAATCTTCTTCTAAGTCATTCAAAGCGTCTGGATTTGGAGTTTTCGTTGGAGTGACAGGAACTGCGACTGCATTCTTAAAAATTGATCTTCCAGCAGATACAATTATCGTTGCACAAGAGCAGTCGAAACTTTGCTCATGATATTGAAAGTTGTATCTTACAGTTTGCTCTTCTACAAGGGAAGCAATAGCCTTCATATTTATCAAAATTCTCTCACTCTCAGTCTTCCCTTCTCTCATATTCGTTTCATCAAGAAGAGCTCAAGTGCTATTCAAAATTTGGAGGCCTCCTCTGCTTAATCTATTTGTGTCATAATTCTTCTTTGGGATAAGATCATAGCTGTTCAAACTTTCTAAATCAATAGGAGCATAGAAAGTATGAGCTTGGAAAAGTTTCATAAACCTCTCAATTCCTCTACAAATTTCTTCAGCTGCTCTCTCTTCTTGGCTATAAAGGTTAATACAAGAGATTCCGACAGGGATGCCATCTTCTCTTTTAGTGACTCTTGATAAAAGAGTCATAAACACATACTCAGCAGCAAGCTCATCTCCTCCTAAAATCTCAAGAAGTACTTCTAAAATTTTGGATCTAAGTTCAGAAATTTTATCTGAGTCCAACTCTGGAGCATCAATCCAGAATTTAGTAGCGTTTTTATAAGGATGTTCAAGATAAGCCATCAAATGAAGAACTGGGTACTTATCCATATCAGGAATAATGTTTGGAGGAAGATATCCATTCTCCGCATAAGCTTGCGCTCTCTCTTCTCTAACTTCTTTTGGTAAAGGTCTGTATTCTAGAGCTCCAATGAATTCGTAAGCCTTGTTCATTTTGAATTTATCAAGAAGATCATCATATACCTTGATATTAAGAAGTTCTGCTACTTCTTCAAATCTTCCATTTTCTATTTCTCTTTTCTCTCTGACCCATTTGTTTTCATTTGGGATTGAAGTTGCAATCAGATTTCCTCTATTCATTGTGTAGTTTTGTTGGCAGTACTCAAAAGCTTTATCCTCGACTTCTTCCAATTCATTATCACCTAACTGCATGTATTTATTTGGAATTCCAGTTCCCATATCTCCTGGAGTTGTCATAAAGAAGCCAACAAAGAAATCTTGATCAATCATGTCTTGAATGAATCCAGAAAATCTAACTAGCTGTCCATCAAGTTGTCTTAAGTCCTCTTCAGACTCTATCCTATTCAAATGCGGGATCTTCTGGAGGGTCTCAAATTCTTCGATTGAGCCTTCTAATTTATCTTCAAGACTAGATCTAATATCCCAGGTATCTTTAACTGCCTTCTGAAGTTCATCTGGACTGTCCTGATGTTGCTCTTTAAGCTTCTCGTATGCAGATTGAACAATCTGCATTGGTGTTGGGTTGTCCGCCATCATCATTTTGATCTTTGTATTAATTATATCTAAAAAATTGCGCAAATTCTACACTAAATATTCTTCCAGGGGTTTTGGGGTTTTGGGGTTTTGGGGTTTTGGGG